CAGGACCGCGATCACGCCTGTCATCCCTGCGTGCTGGGGGGGGGGGCGGGGAGAGATGGTCGCAAATTCGGGCACGCTGGAGGGGGAGACGGGCATGAACGCGGGTTCACTCGGCGGGGGGGAGATGGCCACGGTCGCCACCCAATGCAGAGTTTACAACCTGAGTCAAAATTTTTATGAAATTTTTGTTCGCAACCCAATTTGGTCATGAACTGAAGCATTCGTGAGCTAAGGTACCACTGTACTCCTCTTTTAAATAAAAAATATTTTTTCTTAAAAGAAATAAAATGCAAAGAAAGATAAATGTGAAAAAGGGATAAGGATGCTTAGGGATCTTATACAAATATAACATAATTCAAAACCTAGTAAATTCCTGAAAAAGCAAAAATTTCTGTCTTTCTGTAAATCAGTACTTTGTTAGAGCTTGCAAAAAATATAATTATAGTTCTCTAAACTAGTAAGTTTTCCAATCATTTCAAGTCAATTATAAACAATTACATAAAATTTACATTGAAATGTAGATCATCGACCTTATTTTTACAGGCTGCATTTTGTTCCATATTAATTGAATTGCATATAATACAATTTCCATTTCACATTAAATTCCTTGATGGGTCTTCTGTTTATAAAATTAGTTAATTTTGCCTACTCAGCACTCCTGTCCTTCTTGTGGGTTCCTGTGGACAGCTGGTTGGCCGCTGTGTGAACTGATGTTGGGCCAAACAGACCCTCCCTGGCCTCTCCACATCACAGCGGATGTTCTACTAGGAGTGGCTTGAGTGCTAGGAAAAATATGTTTTCTGCTACCCTGAGGGTAGGCACCTGAATTTTGAGAAGCAAATAGATAATTCCCATCTATAAACGGAACACTTGGGAAGGAACTGATTTGCATTATTTAGGAACTAGAGAACACCTCCAAGATTTTGTTGAGTGCTGTGCCAGCATCACACTCTCCCAAGGAGCTGCAGTGAGGTTGCTGATGTGCTTTCCATTCATCCAGAGAGAGACAGATTGGCAGAGCCATTTTACGGGCAGGGCAGCCAGCTGTACATATATTATTATTTTATTTCTAAACCATCCCACAGCCAAAGCTTACACAACCCACCTTGCATATACACGATTGCAGATGCTTATTTCATTACCTGTACTTTGCAACATTATTTTCAGTAAACACAAAACAGTGTTTATTCCCCAAGTAACTGTGTTTAGCATCAGGACAACAGAAGCAAACTGTTTTGCTTCTGCATTCTTGTCCTGTAGTCTTGATAGTACTTTAAGTGAGTTTAAAATAACAAAACTGCACATGCTCAGAGTGTGTCTGCCTGCCTTTTTCCCAGATTGACAAATTGTTTGCTTGTTTTTGTGATTTTTCTCTAACATATTATTAATTAGCATTAATAGTATTAGCAAAGCATAGGTGATAGAGAAGGGAAATTTGAAGAATGCAACTCACAAGTAAACACTCATGGCTGTCTAAAGCAGGGATAAGCCCAGAATCTAAAATCTATTCATTCCCTCTCCCTCTCTGTGCGTGCGTGCGTGCGTTTGTGTGTGTTTTCTGCTCACTTCACTTCTTTCTCAACCAGATGACCTACAGGCAGATTTTTACCCTACTCTATCCTATGAGGCAAGAGGCAACACAGTAATAAAGAGAATTGCTATAGTGCTGCTTTTTTTAATGGTATTGATTGATTGATTGCATTTATATACCACCCCAATAGCCCAGAGGGCTCTCTGGGTGGTTTACAAACTTTAAAATCCCACCAATCCTAAAATAAATAAATTGGCTACACCACGACTGATATTTCCAGTTCCTGTTGAATCACTGTTGATTCAGGATGATCAGGATTAAAAATCTGAAGCATTTTGAAAGACTTTGCCATTCTTTCTTTCTCTTTGTAATATTGCCGACCGGTTTAATTATGTGTAAAGACAAAGCTACTTTATCGTAAAGCGGAATGGACAACACGTAGCCTTCAAAATGTTTTGGCCTACAAGTTCTATCAGCCCTAGCCAATAGAGACAGTGATGAAGGATGCTGGGAATCAGACGCAGGAACATCTGGAGGGCCAGAAGTTGCTGTTCTCTTCCCGAGAGGGTCAAGCCTTGACCCTATGGAAGGTATGGACACTGTGAAATATAGGCAAACATTTGACCTTAAAGGCACCACCGCACCAGTGCTGTCAAAGGATTCAAATAGTAATTTCAAAGAGGCAATTTTCATCAGGACTGCAGCTGGGAGAGGAGGGTTAAATTCTGCTGTTCCAGAACTGCTCAGCTCTCCCCACTGCAGTGCTATGTATACTGCATTAATGTGTACATTAATTGTGTTTGCATAGCTAATATTACATTTAGTTTAGCCTGCAGGAGGAAGAGGATTTGTTGATGATTTATTTCATTTCAGTACCTCTCTGGGTGGTCCACAGCAATTTATTTAGTCATCACCACAGATAGATAAACACTGATATACTCAACAATTCATAAATACATTTTTCAGAATGCCTGGCAAACTTCTCTTGAAGCCGGAACAGGTTCTGTGACCAGGTCTGTCTCCCTAATACTACAATTTTATTTCTATTCTGCCCAGTAGTCAAAGCTCTCTGGGCAGTTTGCAAAAGCACAATGCTTCCAAAGCAGGTTTGCTCTTTGATCTCAGACTCTGAGCCATGCAAGTCTGCCTGGGAGCAGATGAGCCATTAACTAGCTCTTAAGGTTCTTTAAGCAAGTTGAAGGCCTAATCTTATACACATTTGCACAGAAAAAAGTCCTACAACTCCCAACATCAATCGGCCAGAATTCTGGAAGATGAGTGACTGAAGTAATTACCCTTTTCTTTGAGAGGAGAAATTCTAAATTATTGCATCCGTCTTCAAGACTATGCCAATAGTACATTGACCACATTTTTGAACAACTTAATTTCAGGTTCACCACACTTCAGCACTTTGTATTGCAAACGTGAAGTATAATTATGCTAATTTCCTCTGTCATGCTATGAATACATATTAGTGCTTGTGGAATAAAATGTAGAATGCAAACTTGTTTGGACTCAGTGATTGAGAATCTGGTGAAGTTATCTATAAAACTAAGTATTTTAAAATCATAAAAAAATCAGTTACTGGTAGAGAATGTGAGAAATGACTAACACAATAAATCAATTTAAGTGATTAACTGAGTACCTGATTCATTAATGAAGGCCATTAATACTGGGTTTGTGAACTAAAGGCACCCTGTATGTTTGGGAAAGTGCTCCTTTGAGTCTGGTTCTCCAACACACACACTTTGAAGTTTTTGTGCTATACAAATGTACTTAAACCTAACTGAATATCTGTTTATCCTTTAATTGAACTAGATAGGTGTTAATCAGTTGATTGCCCTATTTAACATATGGTTTATTCTCATAGTAATGGTATTTATAGGTTCAAGGCTTTTTGCATGATCGTTAATGTTTATCTCTTGTGTTAGACCATCAGTATGAATTGAACATCTATTCATTAGTCAGCATCTTGATTTTCTAAAAACCAGGTTCTTTAGACTGGAGTTCTAACCCATCTCAGCCCTCCCCAGTTTTGTCATTCAGCACACCAGATGTTACTACAGTTATTTTGGATCAGAATCATTACATCTTAAAAAAATTGAAAAGGTTGTGTAATTTGTCAACTTGTGCCCTCTCTCTTTTGGCCTCTAGAGGGTGTGCAATACATTCATTATATTTTAGGCATGCCTTCTTGAAGGTGTACTCAAGGAAAGAGGATCTGCAAATAGTGTGTGTGCACGCACACATTTTAAGCTAAAGTAACACCTAGCAAAGGATGGCTGATGGAACGAAGAAACTGTTCTAAATGAGCTGGGAGATCTAAGTGAACTCTTGTATGCAGCCAGACACTCCCAAGGTACCCATACCATCCTGTGAGTGCAAGAAAGATTGTATTCACACATAGGTAAACTTTAGGTTTGGCCCTGCAGTCAGATATGCTACTTATTTCAAAAGCATCTTGATCTGTACTACTGATGGAGATTTAGAAATAAATCTGGGAGGTAGATTACTTTTTTGACCCATGGCCCTGCATTTCCTCTTTGTTCATTTGTCCTCCTTAACTGAGCAAAAACAAGGAGAAGTAATAACCTCCCTACAGCTTGTCTTCTCCTTCTGAAAGGTTGTAAGAACTGGTTGCAAAAGGAGAAGAAAGAGAATGTGGGGTGTCAGTGTGAGAACGAGGCAGGTGCAGTCAGAGAAAAGGGCCTACCAAGAGAGTCTTTCCAACTGCTTCCTCCACAACAAAGGAAGCAGTTATTCTAAAACTTGACACTGGCTGTGAGCTTTTTTTTCATTTGCAACCTAATTCCTACATTAAATGGACATAATACTAAATCATATTGTTCTGTTAACAAGAATGAGGCTGCTTGAATCTACACCTTGTGTGCTTCCCCTCACACATACCTTCCTTTGGCACATGCCAGAGCAGAAGACTAGAAGTATGTTCTTGATTTTAACTAACAACAGATTGTTGTTAGGACTGGACCAGAAATGGGGTTACTTTAATTATGGTTTGTTCAAACAAGCCAGGATCAGAAATCAGTTTGGACTTGGCTTGTTTCATGTTGGATATAATGACAAACCATGGTTAATTGAAACCTGGAATCAGAAGCTTCTGATCTCTTTCTCTGGTGCATATTGGAGGAGGAAGGAGAAGTACTTGAGACCATGTTTTGAGCAGATTAAAAACATGCTCTAAACAATGGTTTAGTATTAGGTCAAAACCAAGGCTATATGTTTTTAGCATATTAGCATAAATATCTTTGCCATGGCAATTTGAATAAAAGAAATTGGTGTAATTCCTATTTATGAGAGGTACTACCACTTTGAAGAAGAGCATTAAAAAGCCTGCTGAAACAGGGTGCAATCCTGTATCCACTTAACTGAATATATGGTTGCAGCTGCACTGAACTAAATAGTTAACTATAGGGTTACACTGTTAATAGGCTTTGTGTTATCTTTCTAGCAAACTGCATAAGAAAAAAGAAGATGCTACGGGGCTTCCAGGAGTGACTGGAGAATGGTTTGAAGAAATACAGAAAAGAAAGTTCCAGAAAGCGGCTGATACTGGCAGAATGTTGAAACAACCGCTAGCTCACAGACTGAGGAAAGCTATAGGGAATGGTGAGTTGTCGTTGGGTTATCCATGGTGTGGAACAGTGCCACTGCCAGCTTCAAAATGGAGATAGAAAAATCTTTGTCTTTCTATCTTTCTTTCTCAATACCGGAGTGTTAAAGAAAAAGGGACACCAGATTTTCACTTGGGAAACAATGTTCGAAGAATGGAAAATATATTAATACAATTTTGCTACCTAGCCTTGGTTTTTCTTGATGATTGGAGACAGTAATCAAATTGCAGCAGTGGGTGTTATCTGCAGAGATAGCTGCAGTACTGGACTGTATAATATGAAGAGCATTTAAGCACTTTGTGGGGAGGAAAGAAGATAAGCGTATATCACAGGGAAAATTGTACTGTAGTGATTGACGTATTGCACTCAAGTTCTGAAGTCTTTCAGCAGGAGACGAGAGACACAAAAGCAGTTTAGATGAAACAGATTGCAGATAAAACAATGCACCTCTTCTGTCTGCTTGTCAGGGGACAGGAACTCAATTTAGATAAATGAAATGGTTGAATGGAACCGTGACAGATTAGACAGGCTCAGGAAGTGTGCAAGTGACAATATAATCAGAATAACGGGACAGGAAGATTGAACCCATCTACTGACTGGCTTGACACTGATACAGATGTAGGAAGAGTTTCTTTCAGCACACTATTGCTGAGATCAATTTCCTAACTTGTCTTTGCTGTGCTACACACAGTCTCCCATTCAATGGATGCGTGGATTTGGCTTCCATGCAACTGCATGGTGTTGGCATCTGTGGCATCACTTTTGCTGGATTGATCAGACTTCCACCTTACTTCCACCTTGTTTCTCTGGAAGGTTCAAGACAGATCACAACAGTCACCCTGATCCTACTTTGGGTCATGATGGTATTGTATATATTTATTTGGAAGTACGTACCATTGAGTTCAATGGTATTTATTCCCAGTTAAGCAACATGCATAAGACTCCAGCCTCAGTCCCACTGAAACAAACATGCTTGCAGAAATAATCCTGATACAGCACACTTTCTTTGCAGCAAGCCACTGCGGGCTGCACACAATCGAGAGGAGGTCTGTCAGGAAAGGAGAGTTTTGTTTGCTGGTGATCTTGATACAAACTGCAGAACAAAATGAAATAAGTTGAGAAGCATCCACTGTATAGCTTTCTGATGTACTCCCCAAGCCCCTGTGATTGTGGTCTCCATTCATTTTAATGCAACAAGTGAAATGCAGGTGTAAATTGGCCCCTTAAAATGAGCAGGAAAGCCATTCAGGGCAAAGGAGTTTCCACGGGTGCTCTGTGTGCTGAGGAGACATTTGGAGGCAGTCTAGATGCAGTCGGCCAACCACCCAAATTACTGTCAAATTGAACATGCCATTTGCTGGGCGACATGACTACAGAGGCCCAATTTGCACATATCTTGCCACTTCCGGGACTGAATAATAGAGGGTGGTTGTCATTTTTATCTGCCCTTATTTTTGTAGGAACAGAGAGTCCAGGGTGTGGGCAAAGGCATTTCTATTTAAGACGGAGGCATTTGCATTTTAAAGGAAGTGGAAACAAGTCTTCCAGCACTGTCATTTTTTTCTTTTCATCTCTCTTTCAGATTCTACAAATGCAAAACCTTCATCACCCCAGATTCCACATGCTCAGAAGCGTGGATCACCTTCCATCCTGGGGGGGCTCCGAACCCCTTTGGCTTCTCTCTTCTCCTTCAGGAAATCCAAGAGGCAGCATTCCAAGTCTCAGCAGCAGCATACTCCACGGTGAGCCAGAAGTATCCTCTAGGGATACATTCAGTTTCTAGAAGCATCCTTGTGTACATTCAATTATTCTAGCTGCTTCTATGAATTTTCTTGAAATCTGTTTCTCTATTTCCTACATCTGCTTCCAAAGATTTCTCACTAGGCTATGTTATACACCCTGACCTATTTCCTAAGATAGTTGTGAAGATAAAATGGAGAGGAGGAGAACCATATATGCTTCCTTGGTTTCCTTGCAAGATATAAATGGAATAATAACAATAATTTAGAAACTGCTGGTTGACTGGATCACTTCTGAAATGTTGGAAGGGACATTTGGGGTCCAAGAGAACATGCAGTAAACTTGTACCCCAGAAGCTATCTTGGTGTTTATTTCACCAAGTTTATTTCATCAAGTTATTCCCGTGAAAAAAGCAGAAACAGAAACTGTCCAGCCAGTACCAGATGGAGAAAGAGAAGCGGCTGCCTTCCACTGAGTCTAACCATTGGTCCATTGAGCCCAGTAGCAGGGGTGGGGAACCTGTGTCCTTCCAGGTGTTGCAGTATATACCCCATCAGTCCCAGCAAGCATGGTGCCAGTTATTGTCCAACTTTTGGAGGTTCCCTACACTGACTGGCACTGACTCTCCAGGGCCTGCTACTTGGAGTGATTGTTTTTAAATGTTATGAGATCTAACTGCAGCATTCATTCCGTCCATTTCCAATAATCAAGCTATGAGAAGCATCACTTATTAATTTAATTTTTTCGATTTATATCCTGCCTTTTCCTACAAAGGGCTCAAGGCAGCTTACATCATTCTCCTCCTCCATCTTCTCCGCACAACAACAACCCTGTGAGGTAGGTTGGGCTGAGAGTCTGTGACTGGCCCAAAGTCACCCAGTTGGCTCCGTGGCTGAGCGGGGACTCAAACCCAGATCATCTGAGCCCCAGTCCCATGCTCTTCACCACTACACCACACTGGCTGTACGCCACTACACCACGCTTATGTAGACAAAATGGCACCACCCACACAGAAGAGGGAGGTACAGGAAGAAGTATTTTTTTTAAAAATTAAGGAATACTAATCCAAATTGTGGGGGGCACCCCAAAAGGCCTGGTAAGGACTGAGTATGTTTCATGGAAGTGGAATACAAACGGCACAGTCCACTGAACCTCCCCATCACCCTCCAAACTCAAGTGATTATGGGCACGCTTCGCAGGGCAGAAGGAGTGCAAAAGCAAAGCTTGCCTCTGTATTCTCCCACCTGGCAAAACGTTTAGAAGACTGATTTTGTCTGTCACAACATTTTAGCTCAGCGTGAGCAGAGGAGACTGAAGTGCTGCCAGCAGATTTCTTTTGCTAGTGGTACCTGTCTCCTTCCCTCCTTGCCAAAAGCCTGTTTCAACGGTGTATCAGGGGAATAGGAGGGCTTCGGATCCAGCAGCTCTGAAGCATCCCCAATCCGTTGCAGCATGCACTGGCCTGTTTCTCTTACTGCTCCTTCGAGGTGCAGCTGCTTCAGTTCCTTCTGCACTAACTGAGAGGGTGGAGGGCGGGAACTCCAACTTTAGAGCCTCCGCTTCACCCTCAGAGCAAGTTTCTGAGGCTGAAGCTGAGACTCTGATCATCCTTTGGGCAATTGTCTAGCAGCCACACAACCGCACCCTGAGTGATTGTTGTGGTGGGAACAGAAAAATGGGTGTGAACAAATCAAATAGAATAGAAAGAATGGAGTGTTATGGAGGAGGCCGTGGTTGGGCAGCAAGCAGGAACCCTGAAGAGAAGAGTGCTTACGCTGCAACATTTAATTGCCAGTCCCGTTGGTTTTATGGGTTTCAGTAGCTTTCTTGTCTATTTTAATGTTTTTTTAACAGAACAGCAGGGCAGAAGTTGTCACTGTCATCCTTGTAGTGGTGACGTATTATATAAGAACACAAGAAAAGCCATGCTGGATTAGACCAAAGTTCCATCTAGTTCAGCATCCCATACACATGGTGGCAAACCAGCTGCCCAAGCAGGATGAGTGCAAGACCTCTGCCTTCCCAGCTCCTCAACAACTGGTAATGCAGGCATGCCGTCTCTGGTGAAGGGCGTAGCACATGGCCAGTAATTCTGCTTCTACGAACTGCTCCAGTCTCTTTTAGATCCTCCTAGTTTGGTGGCCAGCCCTGCTTCCCTTGGCAGCCAGTTCCATAGATCAACTATACTAGGCTTTATTAACTATATGTCCACTCTATAGAGAGCCAGCGTGCTGTAGTGGTGAAGAGCAAGGTCTGGTCTCAAGGGATCTGAGTTCCAGTCCCCACTCAGCCATGGAGCCAACTGAGTGACTCTGGGCCAGTCAGACTCTCACCTAAGCTATTTCACAGGATTGTTGTTGTGCAGATAAGATTGAGAGGACGGGGGAATTACTAAAGCTGCCTTGAGTTCCTTGAAAAGGAAAATGGCAGGATATAAATATAATAAATATATACTAGAACTCGGGGTTTTGTGATGAAATGGGGGGGGACAGAGATTCAAGGCAGACAAGGGAAAGTACTTCTTCATGTACCACATAATCAGGGTATCAAGTGTGCTGCCACGGGATGATTGCCACTCATTTAGAAACCTTTGAAAGAGAATTCAGCAAATTCACAGGAGGTTGCTATTAGTAATGATGGTTAAATGAACTCTCTAGACTCAGCATGAGGCATTTAACCTGGTAATTTAACAAGACTGCTTTTTTTTGGGGGGGAGGGGTAAACAGTTTTCCACTCTCCCTTTCTGTGTGTTCCATTAGACAACACAAGGTGACACTGTGGTATAGAGCATAATTCACAGTTGCACAAGGGTTCCCTAGTGAATAATGTATAATCCAGAAAAAAATCTGCATCATCCTGAATCTGAAATAAATTTGTAAAAATGGCTGAAGAGCAAGCAGAAGGCCTGTGAGAATGACCACATTGTGTAAAGAACCTGCAAGTGAGGGATCCTGAGCCCACAGTGAAGTTCTCAGGTAGAAAATCCCTCAGAAGTAGAATACCTCTGAGTGGTAGTTGTGGGGTACAAACCACAGAAGAGGACTTGTTGCAGCCTTCTCCAGCCTGGGATGCTCCAGGATTCTGAGGAAAGAGGGCACTGCAATCCAACAGGTGTGCAAGCTGCCTGGTGAAGAATGCTGGTTCCAAGCCCTGAATGTGGACTTTTTAGATGCAACCGGGTGGGTGCTGTACGAAACAAGATGCTGGACTAAGGCCTTTGGTGTGATCCGTCAGGGCTCTTCTTAGGTTCAAAATGCCTTTAAAACTCCAGTTAGATTTTTGCATAGGGTTTGGGGAGTGTGAAATTTGCATCCTCTGCTTTATGCCTCCCACACTTTCCCACACTTGCCTAGGCAGTGTTTGCCTTCTTTGTCATTCTATCTGGAGGCACTGGGTTGGTGCTAGTTAGCGGGACTTCCCCTTGTGCTGCAGTTGCTTACCTGTCACCTTCTCAGAGCCTCGGATGATGTCATGCCTGCCTGCACAAGGAAGGCGTGAATCTCACAGAGGCATGCAGAGTTATATGCGAAATGTAAACAAACATTGTTGCTACTGAACCAATGGTTAATACCGTGTGTTTCTGGGCTAAAATGGCCCCACCTACCATCAAAGATTGCTTTATTTTAGAGGAAGACAGAGTATTCAAAGCTGTGTGCCATCTGTTAGGCAGAAATCGTTTAAGCAGCAGCTGAAATTCTGTAGTTGGTCCCAGAGTCAATAGTGTAGGGTGCTCATGGCCAGGTGCTCAGTGTGGAACTTCATCCACCCACAGCTCTTGTGCTTTTTAATGGCTGCACTAAAAACAACATTCTGTGGAAGAGCTTCACCAGTTGAATCACTGTTTGTCATGTAGCCATTAAAGAAAGGCACTGGAGCCCTGCTGGGGGGGATGTTGGCAACCCAAATCAGGTGATGCCTGCAAAAGACTGAAGAGTACATATTTTTCCAGGCAGAAAGACAGTTATCTGCCACCTGAAAGATAAGGTTAAGATAAGCGTAGCAACACATCCAGCTAGCATGTTGAGTCATCTTTGCTAAGCCGGAAAAGCACTGGCCTGCAGCCAGATGGGAGACCACATGTGGAAGCAGAGCAGGGGCGGCATAGAAATGTTTTAATAAATAAATATAGGCCCCTTCCAACTCTATTAATATTCTATTATAAACAAAAAATACTTATCCCTTTGAAAGCACAAGTAGGAACTGGCATCCACATGACTCTTACCATACTAGCTTTCTGGCTCTTCCTGTAACTCTTCTTCCATCCTGGGTTGCCAACTTTTCAGCAGTGTGATGTTTTTGTGCCTGATCATGTGGAATTATTTGCAAGTATCTCTGTGCTCTTAAAAAAGGAATAAAAAGTATATTTCTGTAAATCAACCTCCCCTGACTGGGTACCTTTCACATGTGCTTCACTACAGCTCCCATCATCCCAGCCACCATGGAAATTGCTGGACCATAGTAGGAGTTTTAGTCCAAGAAAATTGGAGAATTGCCGTGGGTCATGTTGCAGTTAAAGCAGAACAGCAAGTCAGGGTAAATTGTATCTGGTCAGCTGGCAACCCTACTCTCTCCTGCTTTAGGAAACAGGAGCTTAGCTTTCCCCTGAAATAGGTATATAGGGCAATCCAACTCCTTCAGTTGTTGTCGGTTTCCCATTAGTTCACTGGCCGGTTATCAGTGATGTAATTCAAAGTCCTCCCCATGAGAGAGTGGGGAAAGAAGGCATGGTGTAGCTTCAGCCTCTGCTGGAGGATTTAAAGAGACAGGTACCACCTCATGCCAAAGAAACATCTCTGCTATTAACAAGGTATGAATGAGCTGAGGGGCTGCACTCTGCTAAATTGTGCAGGAAGGCTGCAGTCCTATATGTATCTGGTAGTAAGCCCTGTTGAACTCAGTAGGATTTATTTCTAAACAGACATGCATACAATAGCACTATGAAAAGTAAACTTGAGCTCGCTTTTGCAATTTGGCCAAAGATTACAAGAGTAAAGGGTGAAGG